CATACAACATGGTGTCCATCCAATCCTATCGTCGACTACATCTGCTAGCACTGTCTCAGCCAGAGTCACATTCTATTAAAGTGACAAAAAGAATTACTTTTTAATATAGCAAAACAACTATATAAGCAAAGCAGTACTATTTTAATTAAAAACCTAATTTAAATTATTCTAAAAATAACCAAATAAATCTTACTATGACAACAATCTGACATCTGACTAGGAGCAAAAAGAATTAAATTTAAAACTATTTTTAAACTCAAATTATTCACAATCTAGGGTTTGAAGCAAATTTGAACAAAATCATATTTAAATCATTCAAATTTGAAAACTAATGGCACAAATAGAAACTAGACAAAATTTTGAATCTAATGCAAAAAGAATCACTCAAAAAACATCAAATATCCTAAAAGATATAAGCAATTTAAAATGGAAACTAAAACCAAAAAACGAATGGAAAAACAAAAAACAAATTTTAGAACCCCTTTAGTCCTGGTTTGAGACACGAACCGGGACTAAAGGGTGTCGCACCCTTTAGTCCCGGTTGGTGTCTCAAACCGGGACTAAAGGTCTAATCTTTAGTCCCGGTTTGAGACACGAACCGGGACTAAAGGGCGTTGCACCCTTTAGTCCCGGTTCGTGTCTCAAATCGAGACTAAATGTCCCATTTGAACCGGGACTAATGCCTTCCTAACGCCCTAGCTGCTCGAACTGCTCACATTAGTCTCGGTTCGTAATGCAACCGGGACTAATGTGTACATTGAGCTTGGACCAAAGCCATGTTTTCTAGTAGTGTTAGGTCAGAGCTAATGTATTGTTTTAGTTTGGAATGGGAAGGATAGGAGTTAATCCTATGTAGTAATAGGAATCCATTCTTGCAAACCAAAGGGTTTTAGAGGAATTTGTTTTGCATGAATCCTACCCTACAAAATTCCTAGAAAATCCTATAAGCCAAAGGACAGCTTATTCGGTTCACGTGAAAACAATGCTCATGAGTTGGCTCCACCCCATTCTATATTGTTAAAAGGATAATTTGTTCCATCAGATTAACCTCTAAATATCGTTCTTTCTTTCAAGAAAAACTTTATTCATTTGTATGACAAACTACATGTTCTAAAGAATAGAGGAGTGTAATAATTAATAAGGAGTGAGAATTATCTCTCAATTACATTCGTAGCTCTCCAATTATAATCTTCTCGTCTATCTGTAATTACATGAATTGGAATGATCGTATGTATGGTTCTTACTGCCAACTTAGCAATCAGTGTTTCTTGGTCGGCAAGAAATAAGAAAGTGTAATCTGTACCTGTGCCCAATACAAAAATCATGAGTTAGGATGTGATATTTGTCATATTAGCCATCCGAAACCAATAATCCATTTCTCTGGATCTCAATATACTATGGTTGTGAACAAAGTAGATCTCCTTGAAATTATACTTATTTTCTCGTAATTACTCCTGTATTTTAGATTGTTTTAAGAGCTTACGTATTTGGAACAAACTGTTCATGTCCTTACTCTGAAGTTGTACATGTGTGTATGAATGTTTCAGGAAAAGTTAGTAGTTTTAGGTGAAATTGTACGGTGGTTATCAAATTCGTGTCCTTGTAATATTTTTATTTTTTTAAAGCGTCCAAGACCAGCCTCTAAAATAGGTAGGCAAATTTTCTACCTTTGGCTTACAATGTCACAAGAAATAGTAATATTATCAAAGTCAACAAAAGATTGTTTGATTTTGGCAATGTTAAATATTTCAATAATAAGATATGTTTGACATTTCTTAAGATATGTGTATGAATGGCAGCCATGGCAACTTCGTCGCACTTCTCATCGATGTCGTCATCCATGATTGCTGCCACACTCGAGTTGTTTGGACAATAATATTCATCTTCACTGCCCACACGCTGTAGTTGGCATCAGTCACCATCAGGTACTGAATGTGGATGTTGGGATGAGACATTACATTGGCGCCACCCGTTCCTCCACCAAGCTGATTTGCCGTCCTACGTCACCTTGTCGTCGTTCTTATTTGCCTTGGAGCTGCAATTGCCGGACTTGTAGTTGCCATATTTTCTTTTTGAGAGGCGACGTGCCATATTGAGCGTGCAGTTTGCGCTTCTTTTGTTTATTTTTTTCTATGGGAAGCTGCTCTTTTTTTTCCTTAATAAGCCCTGGAGGAGGCTCTTTTGTTGTCACATAAGCATAATTAAAAAAAACTTTTATCTGGTGGACAATCCTTTCTTTTAAGGATATCTGCTTAACAATCAAGAGTCCAAGTCACGAAGGTTTTAGATCATAACTGTTGTGGTCCGCTTTCAGTTATAAGTACTAGATGACCCGTTGCACCAATGGCGCAAAAGCCGAATGCAAGCTAAGTATTGGAAGAGTATGCACTAAAATATGTAAACACAAAATGAAACATGTGGAAATAAGTACAGACTGATGATAGATAGATGGTTGCTCATGATACATGTTTTCTAAGAAGCTTACGGGCGATCATTTACAATGTGATGAGCAAGGCATGTATATAGCCAGAGATATGTTAGACAGATGATCATTTACAATGTGATGAGCAAGGCATGTAGATAGCCAGAGATATGTTAGACAGATGTAGCGCTGGACGTTGAGAACAACTTCTCTGAGCCAACTCTTCATAGTAGTAATACTAAGTCATGTAGCAAAGGACTCTTGTGATCTGCTTAGATTAGATAGACAATCATGCAGAGGCCTTTGCATGTGCACTTGAAGGCGAAAGCATATGTTCTTTCATCATGGTTGTTCCAAAAGCATACCACACAACAGTCTAAGCAGCAAATAATCGACAATTAAATGCATAGAATGGTCTTAAGGGATTATATAAGATCCAAAAGGATGATAAACATAGAAGTCTTAGTAGGCATCTATACTAATGATAAGTAACATAACAAGGGGCTCTTGCAACTTGCTTATATTGAGTAGACGATCAGGCACAATCCCTTGGAAGTGCATTTGAAGGCAAAAGCATATACTCGCCCTTCGTTCATGCTAGATGACCCGTTGCGCTGATGGCGCAAAGAGCAAGAGCGATCCAAGTGTTCAAACCATGCACGTAAGAATATTTAGAGACCAGTGATCAACAAAAGGCATCAATGTTGTGGTCTTCAAGAGAAGATTGGCATCTTTTGTCCCTATTTCCACAACTGATTCAATTGAAGAACTAAATGCAACATCTTAGGGCCATATGCTTAATAGCATAGAAAGGGGAGCACTAATGATCGAAAAGCAAGTGCATATGTGTTTGTAGTGAAAAGAGATGCGTGACAACTATCTCTAATCTCATTATAACGTCACTATGCAATGCAGAAACCATAACCAGAATTATTCATATCTGAAACAAACACCAAACACTAAAATTAAACAAAAACATCATTGCCTAATCAGTTTTTCTAGGTTTACTTTGCTGGCCTAACATGACCCAATCAGAAAATAAGAATGAACTTGCTGGAAGGCTATAGGAAATGATTCGACGTTGAGATATTGATTACGGTTGCAACCCTCATTGTTGCATGTCTCTGCCCTGCCCTCGCCTTGGGACAACCTCCAGTGCAGCCATGCCCTCCCTCGCTTCCGGTGCTCTTGTCAAAAAGCCTTCCCCTCTAAGTGATAAATATGATGATAGAGAACACAACTACCCGTTGCTAAAAATTGTGCAGCTATAATAGTCAGAAAGACTTGACAACAAAAAGCTGAAGGAACCACATGTTAAAAAAAAGCTGAAGGGGGACTAAAGCACAACTACCCATTGCTGCAACATAGAAACTGGAGATACAACAATATTATTCTTAGGGTGAAATATTACTCACAACAGCAATATGCAGATTCATTAAAATGGAATGCCATAGTTATCTGTAACATGTAGCAACACTTGAGCTGCAAAATCATCCATTTATCTTGTCGTGAAGGCTACAACTTCGTTACTTGAGAATCATCATTCATTCCTCCATGCGTGTGCAAATTTCAGTGACTACTGACCCCAGTCTCCAACAGGAGCAGTTAAGAGGGGAAACATTTTTTTCCAACTTGATCACAATAGTTTACGTGCAGCCAACTTTCACTGAGTCTATCTGTTCCCATCTCCCCCTCGAAAAGACATGTTCGAATACCAAACAACAGTGATAGTAAATAGTCACATGCCTCGTTGTTTGTAAGTATCAACGCACTTGTTGCACGAAAGAGCAATGCAAGTTAGCAATTTATACTCGTAGACAAGAGTTGAGTGGTGTCCATCCTTGTAGTGGCTAACCAGATTGACCAAGTTCCTGTGATGAACTCTTATTAGATGTAGAGCCTGAAATGCAATTCAGAGTAGTTCTGTCAATAAGTGACCAGAGTGTTTGGCAAAATGGAGAGATTATTTGGGAAAATTGATTTGATCTAGACGGAAGAGAAAAATAAAACATGCATAAGAATAAGAGGAGAGGAGAGGAGCGGGAAGAAAGCTAACCTCTGCCAAGAACTCATTAACCCCATGAGATGATGATTCTAAGCGTGTTTTGACTGCAACTGGGGTTCCATCTTCCAAGTAGCCAAAATAGACTACACCAAACTGACCTTTACCAATGGACATCTCAAAGTTATTTGTGATGGTCGTTCTTTGTAACTGAACTGACAGTGACCGATTGCATAGAGACAACATCTCTATTATCTTCTTTTGAGTTATTTCCATTCAACGGTCCGACAGAAGGATCCACATAGGTGTACTATACTATTAGCAACCAAGAACACGACTCACTATATTTTCTTGAACAATAATTAGACAAGTACTCGGTTTCCAGTCAATAGAAATCACCATTTTCAGTTATTCTTGCAAAGGCACAGGGTAACAATTACGACCACAACCAAAAGTACAGAAAATATAACGGTAGCCATTCGAAGCCAATATAAATGAGCTCCCAGATGGTGGCGTCGACGGCGTCAAGTTTGGCTTTAGGCGTGAGCATCTTCACCTCCTACACGATCAACCTCTACTTATAATAATCTGAAGATTGGGGTCATAGCGGACGCAACCGAGTTTGTGCCGCTGCAACAACTATATCTACTTCATCAATTAAAATTACTTTATCAATTAAACATACTTCATTGATTAGAAAGTGAAAACAAACAGTCTGCATTGGACATGTAAACATTCTCTTCATATATCTCAAGGTGTTGCACCATATAAAAATAAATGTTATAAGTAAACTGAAGGGTGAGTTTGTATGTTGATGCGTCCCTGATGAGATAATTTGGCTCAAATGGCAAATACAGATCAAGAAACTGAGCATACAAAATTTTATAGCTCAAGGGCCTATAAAATGCCACCATACTCTAGCATGCTTGAAAAAATTATACTTAATCAATGTGACAATATCCGGTCCTTGTAGAACGGAACTAATTCTATACATATTACCCAAACACAGGGCATCAATGTCATGTATAAGAGAATAGTTGACAATCGATGAATGTTGGAGGCATAGCAATGCTATGTTTGGAAAGCCAAAGATTGGGGCAAAACAGTCATTGGCAGCAAATAATGAGGCGCCTTAAAAAGTATTTCTACATACTCAACTTCATCATGATCTTCTGTTACTATTGGCACCGTAACAAACAAACAAATTGTCCTTTTTGGAGAATTAAAGGAAATCTATAGTAATTTTATAATACGGAAGTTCATAGCAATCAAACATCAAGATGCAAGCTTGCCATTTTAAATATATACACCAGTACACCATGGCTATTTTAGATATTCAGTTATATTCAAAAAAGCATGACGCGCGTTCAACTTGTTACTGAAAAGGAACCTTGTTCCAGCAGAACATGTAATGATCCATAATAAATATAAAAAATGTTCACTGAGTTCATTGGTTCAGGTATTGTGGTTCCACATGATGGTGATGCATAAGAACGTTTCTTTTTTGAGAATTTAGTAGCAAACCTGCAATGCACAAAAAGATCAAATGGTTAGCAAACCTGTTGTTCGTCCTGAAGCTAGTTCAGTAAGAGAGAACATTTAGCAACAAAAGTATAAACTTCTATTAGAAGCTTGCAGCGACCATGCAATGCATTGCAATGAAGTAATATAAAAAAACATGAGGCGTGTGTTTAGATGGTTACTGGAAAAAGGACCTCACAATGTTCCAACGGAACATGTAGTGATCTATAAACATAGTCGATGTTATCTGGATTCCTTGGTTCAGATCTCATGGCTCAACAGGACGGTGCTGCAAAAGCATGATTTTTTGAGAAATTAGTACCAAACCTGCAATGCAATCAGATTGTCAGCAAACCTGCCATACGTCCCGAAGATAGTTTGCGGCTATTGTTATAGCATAAACAAAAGCAGAAGGGAATGCCATAATTAAATGACAACTTAATGTTCAAACATCACACCAACGATAGGTAGAAATACAGAGTGTATCTGTAACAGTACATGTCCCCAATGACAGACTGAGTCATGTTCCTCCACTTCTTCAAGTTTCTTGCAATTTCACCTATTTTTCATTGCTTCAATATTAATTATCAAGGGAATGGGACTATGATGAACAACCAAGCACTAAAGTTTAATACGAACAGCCTTCCACAAAGCAGATTGAAGGTATACAAGCACAAACAGCACACATGCATGTAATATTTTGATGGACTTATATTATGTATTTAGTTATCAAATTGCACCTTAATGCAACTATATCGGCCATGGGTCTCCCCCTTTTTGAAAAGCACCCAGAAAACTGGATATAAAAATAACCTGTATAGATCCATATGGAAAGCAAACAGAAAACTAATGTAAACTAACTTATCTGAAAAGGAGAAAAAGCAATATTCAGTTCAGTTGTTTGTTAACCGCTCTGTACCAAAGAGTGTTGGAAATAAAAAGAAAGGAGAAAGCAGGGAAGATGCCACCATGAGAACCAAATCGATCCAGAATATGTTTTCCTCATGTCAGTCTCCTCCCTCCTCCGTGGCTAATACTCCTCATGCTGGCCAAAACAACAAATCAAAGCATCAAAGTTAGAAACTAAAGAGAGAGAGAGAGACGGTAGGGAAGATACCACGGAGAAAAACTAAATCGAACCACCATACTCTGTTTTTAGCAAGCACCATACTAAGACTAAATATGTTAAAGAAAAATAGGAAAAAGAATATACTATATACTCACCGCTACCATTCTTTGTAATCCCCAAAAAAAATAACACTCTTCTCTCCCCCTTAGAAATAGCCTGATGCCAAAGGGATCATAGTTAAGCACTATAGTGTAATAACAGTGAAAATATTTACTGAAGTATCAAAAGCACCATACCTAGGGCAGGGAAATCTGTGCAAATTTGACATAAGAGAGTGTAGACTTGTCTTGAATAAAACAATTATATGAGATGTGCCTTCTTCCTATTGCCATTCAGTCAACCATGTCATCACTGTCCTCACAAACTGGAACTCCCCTGTCTCCCTTTTCCACTCATACATGACCAAAGAAAACCATGAACATAGCCAAACCAGATCAGATCCGGGCTCAATTCACGCAAATGCATATACAAAAATCTTAAGAATGCACAAAGAGCATTTAGATATGCACCACCTGGGGGCATTCATAGAAGGTGAAGTTTTGAGATAAACTTGGAAACTAAGCATCTGAGATCAGTAATAATAACATAAAGAAAATCCATAATCTAATTAATTAGTCAGTAAGAGAACGATCTATGTGAGCCACCTTTAATCAATGAATTAGGGAGAGCTTCCATGTTTGCTTTTAGCAAGTTCGGAAAATGCTTTGCTGTACTGTTCGGCAATGCTCAGGCTGGCAGCCTACAAATTAGAAGCAGACATATATGTTTTGTTAGGCAAAAAGGAAAAAGACAATCAAAATCTTATTTGAAGGAACAACTCCTCCATCGAGATTTTACAAGAAATATGTGATACCTTGGTGTTGCGTTCAGATTTAAACTACTCAGAGACCTGGTGCCCACGCTGTAAAACAAACTAATCCGTCAGCACTGATGGAGAGCAACACGGGTTGGGAGTGAGTCGCCACCGTCGGTTACGCTGTGAGCGTCCGCGGGCTAAGAGCATCATGGCCAGGCTGAGCTGTGCATAGTACGACGGTGTGGGGCGACGAAGATCAAGAGCAGTGTAGCTTGGGAGAGGGCCGCTGCTATCGGCGGCTTGAGGGCGTCATGGCTGGGCCGCTGGAAGAAGCCGAAGCGACTCATGTCTGACGCATTCGCCAGCACCGTCGCCTGTTGTGGCTGCTGCTCTCCTCCTTCCGTCGATGACGAGGGAGCAGGTGTCTTGACTGCAAACTATATCTACAGTTGAACATTATTACTTCAATGCAAACAAAAACAAAGAAAGGTATCCAAGTAGAACAATTATCTTTCCACAACCATCATTTCTATCTTCCAACAGAATGAGAAAATATCTTGAATTAAAGTAACAATGATCTTGAAGCAAAATGCATGAAGTTGGTGTCAACCTGATGCATGTAACAGATACTGGATCCTCTCTCGTTTGGTATTCCCTCACAGCCTTACTGAACTTTCATCAAACACCTTGCAGGCATAGATAAAAAAGTATTTGCACATGTAAATAGATGAGCTGAAGAGAGAGGGCAGGAGGCAAGGGGGAAAGCCAGGTGTGGCATCTTGTGCTTTTCCATGGCCGCCTGCACCTCGGGGCGGCAGCTGCCCTCTGACAGAGAGAGGGAGAGATGTAGAGGGATAGAGAGAGGGACTCACCAACGCGTGGAGCTTGGCAGCCAAAACGGAAGGGAAGCCGGCCCCAATGACCTCCTCCGCCTTCTATGCTAGTCAACACCACTCGCTCCCGCGCGAGATGCAGGAGAGCGCACACGAGGCAGCCGCAGTTTGGCCTCTCCATCTTCTCTGGCCGCTGCAAACCATGGTGGAAGGTGGGCGGACGAGCTCCTCTCCATCTTCCCCGCCCGCTGCGGGGAGAGAAGGTTACGGGCAGGTCGAGATGGAGCAACGCCGGTCGCCTCCGGATGCGGCGGCTCTAGCGAGATGGGAAGAGTGGAGGGAGGCGGCAGCTGCACTGGGAGTAGAGAGCGTCGAGCGGGGAAGGAGGGACGCGGGGACCGCTCCGACCCGGCCGCCCTCCATGGGGTCGCCGCCGAGGCGCGCGGATGGAGGAGGAGACGAGGACGCGGCGGCGCGGATGGAGGAGGAGGCGAGGACGCGGCTAGGGTTCGTGGGGAAGACGCGGTCTGCGCGGTCTCGCTCCTGCCCGCGTTGCCTGCCTTTTTGGCCCGCTGGAACTAAAATGCCCTCGGCGGGATGCAGAATTTACAAACGGTGGCATAGCGATTATATGGGGCGACGTGGAGGGCGTGGTCGTGACTACGAGTCTAGGAGGGTTTATATGTTCAATCTAAGGATCGTACTTTTACCGATTAATGAAGGCTCCACAAAATTAATGGTCAGATGTTTCTGATTAACGTGGGATTTCCTAGCTATTTCTCTAATTTTGACCCGGGAAGCTGCTCTTTTTTCAATAAACATTGGGGAGGCTCTTTTGTTGTCACCTAAGTATAATTAAAAGAAACCTTTTATCTACTGGGCAATCCTTTCTTTTAGGGATCTACTGAACAATCAAGAGTCCAAGTTACCAAGGTTTTAGATCATAACTGTTGTGGGTCACTTTTAGTTATAAGTATCTAAGGGTTGTAGTTATTTACCGATTGTTAGAATAAATCCGAGGCATACCTTCGATCATCCGAGTAACAAGCAATCACACGAGCACGACACCGGGATTTGTTAACGAGGTTAACCGATATAGCTACATCTCGGGGCATGACTACGGGCGCTCCTCCCCGTGACACCGTCACAATACCGCACACCGGCTACCCGGGCGCCGGCACACGCCGCCGGCTCCCCCTTGCGCGCATGTGCTATTATGTTGGCATAGGTTACATCGTGTGTCTACCCCCGCTATATAAGAGAGGCCTAGGATACAAGTGTCCTACTTGAACACGACTCCATATCCTATCTAAACACAATACAAATACAAGTCCAACTGTAACCTACCTTGTACACAATATTTGACACAATTCTAACAAACTCCACCTTGGCGAATATTCTCCACCACCTTGAATTGTCAATGCATCAAACTTCCATGTACATTGGGCTTGAGCTTATCCCATGAGTACTGCTGCTACTCCAAAGACTCCATATGACTCCACCTGCAACTTGTAGTCCCTTCTTTTCTTGACCAGAGTCAACACTCGAACGAAATTAAGTTCCACATTAATCTAGTTTGCGCTCCCAACTTCCAGAGTATCAGTCCAACGCCATCACACACTGATCACTGGCCTGCGTGAAATTGAACAACTCACATATTGGGTGTCACATATAAGAGTTACCTGAACTCAATATCACCGTTCCTTCCTTGACCGCCTGTCTGAAACTTGAAGGAATTTCACCGTTGCTTGTAGTCATCCCGAGTCAAATTCACAGTTGTCTCACCACATGTATGACCACCAGAGCCCTGGCCCGTCTCCATGTCCCGTGCGCGCTGCACGCCTCGCTGCTATTACCGCGTTGAGCCTCCGCTGTCTCGGTCGAGTCTCAAGGGTCGCAAAACCACACCACTCAACCCCCACTGCAGAGTACCACCGATCATCACCGACCGATGACGAGTTTCACGCTTCCATCAGACCACTGGACTCCAGTCCGAACTGCATGTCACTCGCTTTTTTCCACTGAATAGGCTTCGACTCTCTGTCGACTTACGCCGTAGCCCCTCAATCCAGCTCCACCTTCAACATGACTCCATGGTGGTTGATCAATCCACCCCGCGCCTCATCGACTTCAAGCTCCGTGTATACAACACCTTGAATCAACCCCGCGCCATAGTCTTGTTGAAACCACACAAGCCCTCGGGGCCTGCACCACGTGTTTCCACGCCCCAGAGGTCGGTCACCATCAGCATCACGCTCCTATGCCGTCATCGCCGATCCCACCACCGTCTTCTGTATCAACCGACTCACGTCGATCCGTCAGACTATCCAAGTCTTGACCCAGCCGAAGTTATCCGACTGCATGACACACTCGAGACTCCCAAATCGTCTTCCGCGAATCTCCATCCATCACATGATAATTCCATCTTAGCTGACATGACTTTCTGCAACGCCTTCAAGCATCTCTATTGCGCCAAC